TAGAAATCATTTTGCTTCTCTCTTGCAATGAATCTTCTGTTTCTAGGACTCTGCCCCCATCCCCCATTTTGTGGTTTAACTTCTTTATTTTGGTTTCAAATATGCTCCATAACTTTGTAGAAAGGAGGTAAATTGTTTTAATCTTTCATGTTTGAAAATGCTTCTACTCTCCCATCTGATTGATAGCTTGGTATAGAGTTCAAGGTTGGAAATAATTTTCCCTCACATACTGAACCTCATTGTTTTCTAGCTTATAGTTATTCTATTGAGAAGTTTATTGCTACTCCTATGTGTGATCATTTGTATGTGACCTGTTTTTCCTCTTTATCCCCTGACTTCAGAAATGTCCTGTGCATTGCTGATCATCTTTTTTGCTTTTATTGTTCGAGCTATTTCATGGACCCTTTCATTCTAAATACAGGTACTCCTATCCTGCAGTGCTACAATTCTCCTTTCATCATTATCATCATCACCATCATTTCTTCCCCTTATACTTTTTATCTTTTGGGGGGGGGCTCCTTTTGGTTAGATGTTGGCCATCCTGTAGTGACCCTCTAATTTTCTTGGTTTTTGTCTTCATTCTCGTCCATTCTGTGAGCTCCTCAACTTAATTCTGTTTTTCTGCTTTTTATTTTTCAGTTGAAATACAGCAAAATTAGCATTTTTCTTGTATAGTTGTATAAATTTTGACAAATGTGCAATTGTGTAACCACTACCACACTCAAGATCCAGAATACTAGGGCGCTTGGGTGGCTCAGTTGGTTAAGTGTCTTGACGTTGGCTCAGGTCATGAACCCACGGTTTGTTGAGTTTGAGCCCTGCCTCGGCCTGTCTACTGTCAGCACAGAGCCTATTTCAGATCCTCTGTCCCCCTCTCTCTCTGCCCCTTCCCTGCTCTAGCTCTCTCTCTCTCTCTTTCTCTCTCTCTCTCTCTGAAAAAAGAGTAAACATTAAAAAATTTTAAAAAGGTATAGAATACTTACATCATCACCATTTATCCCTTTCTGCCATCCCTTTGTAGTCAGCCTTTTCCTATAGCCGTAACTATTGCCAGCAACTGATCTGGTTTCCCTTTCAGTAGTTTGGTCTTTTCCATTATGTCATCAATGCATTCTTTTAGTATGCATTTAATACTGAGAAGTATTCTGTTATATGGATGTGCTAGTTTGCCCATTTACCAATTGAAGGATATTTGGATTGTTTCCAGTTTGGGGGGAATCATGATTATGAATAAAGCTGCTATAAACATTGTTATGTACAGGTTTTTTGTGAGCTGAAGTTTTCATTTCTCTTGGGTAGATAACTAGAAGTGGAATTGTTGGGTCATGTAGCAACTCTGTTTAACCTTCTAGAAACTGCTAAACCAGTTTTTAGAGTGGTTGTACTATTTTATATCACACCAGCAACATATGAGAGTTCCAGTTGCTCTGCATCCTTGTCAACACTTGGTATTGTCAGTTTTTAAAAAATTTTAGTCATTTTAAGATGTTTGTGATGGTATCTCATTTAAAGATCTACAAATGGCCAAGAGGCACATGAAAGATTTTCAGCATTGTTAGCCATCCGGGAAATGGAAAATAGAACCACAATGAGGTACCACTGACACCCACTAGGATGGCTATAGTAAAGAGATGGACTGTAATTATGGATAGGTTGTGGAAAAATGGGAGCCCTCATACACCATGAGAACGTAAAATGGTGCAGTTGCTGTGGAGGACAGCCTGACAGTTGTTCAAACGGTAAACATTGATCCAGCAAGCAACTCCATTCCTAGGTGTTACCCAAGAGGATAGAAACATGTCCAAAAACTTGCACATGAATGTTTGACAGCATTAGTCTTAAAAAGCTAGAGTGGGAACAACCCACATTAGTTCTAATGGATGAATGGATAAATAAAATACAGTATAGTTTAACTATAGGATTGAAATACTGATACATGCTACAACATGGGTGAACCTTTTATTTATTTTTTTTGGTGCATAAAAGGTTTTATTAAAGCATGGGGACAGGATCCATGGGCAGAAAGAGCTGCCCATGGGTGAACCTTTAAAACCTAAGTGAAAGAAGCCAGTTACACAGGACCATATATTGTATGATCCCATTTACGTAAAATGTCTAGAATAGGTAAATATAGAGAGACAGAAAGTGGATTGGTGGTTACCTGGAGTTTGTGGGCATAGGGGGTTAGCAGTTGGTTGGTACGGGATGTGGTTACATTTGGGTGTGTAATGAGAATGTTCTAAAATGGTGCTGATGGATGCACAACTCTCAATGTACTAAAAATTATTGAAATTATACTTTGAATTACAGGGTATGTAAACTAAAAAGCTGTTAAAATGATCAGTTTTAAGTGTACAATTCACTAATTTTTAGTGAATATACAGGAATGTGCAGAAACAGATTTGGAACATTTTTTTATCACATCAAAAAAGATCCTTTGTGCTTGTTTGCAGTCAATACCTATTCATATCCCAACCACAGGCAGCCCTGATCTGCCTTCTGTAGATGTGCTTGTTTGGTATATTTCATATAAGTATAATCCTATCTCTTTTCGAATCAACCCCCTTTTGCATCTAGCTTCTTTCACTTAGGTTTCAGTTTCTCCACATCCTTGCTGATACTTGGTCTGTGTATTTATTATAGCCATTCTCGTAGGTGTGAATTGATACCTCTTAATGGTTTTAATTTGTGTTTTCCTAATGACGAATGATGTTGAGCATCTTTTTAGCTTAGTAGCCATTCCTATATCTTTGGTAAAATGTGTAGTCAAATTACTTGGGCGTTTTTTTAAAAAATTTTTTCAACATATATTTTGAGAGACAGCGTGGACAGGGAGGGACAGAGAGAGGGAGACACAGAATCCAAAGCATGCTACAGGCTCTGAGCTGTCAGCACAAGGCCTGACACGGGGTTTGAACCCACAGACATCAAGATCATGGCCTGAGCCCAAGTTGGACACTTAACCGACTGAGCCACTCAGGCACCCCAAATCATTTGGGCATTTTTTAGTTGTATCGTTTTCCTATTGTTGACTTGAGAATTTTTTTTATATTTTTGATACAAAGCTTTTTAGTCAGACGTGTGATATATACTGATAAAACTTTCTTCCAGTCTATGGCTTGCCATTTTCATTTTCCTAACAGTGTCCTTTGTAGAGCACAAGTTTTTAATATTGATAAAGTCCAATTAATTTTTATTATATCTAAGAATTCATTGCCTAACTCAAGGTCTTGAAGATTTTCCCTTATGCTTCTGAAAGTTTTGAAATTTTGTTCTACATTTAGGCCTTTGGTCCATTTTAATTATAATTAAGTTATAGAAGATTAATTGTATAAAGATGAGGTATAAAGACCATTTTTTTCTATTTTATATATGGATGGGATTGTGCAGCACCATTTGAAAATAGTGTCTTTCTCTGTTGAACTGCTCTTGTACCTTTGTCAAAAATCCGTTAACCATATTTGTGTGGGTCTTTTCTGTGTGCCCTCTCTGTATGTTCCTCTCTTTTTTTCTATTTCTGTATCCACCTTCTATTTTCTTCCTCTGTTTCTTTTTGTTTCCTTGTCTCTAATTTTTATTTTATTTCCTGCTCTTCTATTGCTTTTCTGGTTCTCTTTTTCTTCTCCCAGTTTTCCCTTTGATTTCCTTCCTCAAAATGAAGTATGTGGATTTGTACTAATTGAAGTTTTATGTATTTATTTTTAGTGTAAGTAGCGATAAATGTGAAGAATTTGTATTCTTTTCTACAGGTAAAAACTTCCCAAAATGAGTTAACTTTTTCATTTATAACTCTTAATTTTTCTCAATGAATTTGTGGCCTTAGAAAAAGATGGTGATCCCTCTGTCCAAACCATGTTTCATGGTTTTTCAAAAGGCATAATTTCCCTAGTGTTATTGTTTCTTTGAAAAAGAAATTAAGGTAATTCCAATTGATATGCTAAAAGAAGTCAGGATTTTACTTGTTTTTTAACCATGCTTTTATTTCATTCTTAAATTAGAAGATTGATTATTGATGCTTTTCCTATAGGCACGGTGGTCATGATTACTACTGGATCCACAGATATAAGAAAAACAATTTTCAAAGCAGCTTAATTAAGGAATTTGATTTTGGCATTTAATAAAAAGGAGACACTTGACAGTGGAATCAAGTAATGCAAGTGATCAGTTCTGTTTTTGAACCTCACAAATATGGTCCTGTTTACATTGGTTTTCTTAGTCTCTAGAGTAGTTTTCCCAGAAAAGTGCTCTAATACACTGAAATGTTGGTAAGACATTCCTTTCATGCTGTTTAATTTAAACTTCCATTGTTTTCATTTTTTAAGAAACAATTTTTGCATCGTCTCTTTTTGTTAATGCTCTACAATAATTTGAGGACATTAGTCAAGAATTGTATCAGTGTTTCCTAGCATAGCTAATGGATTTAGTTTCTGTGATCCTAGCAGAGGGTTATTATTATATAGGAGAACCAAATGAGAAAATTACTTAACTCCCATACCGGAAGTATCCAGAAATCTGCTTTGGCATTTTACTTGCTTGAACTGTGATTTCTGCCCCTATAGATCAAGGGAGACCCTTGCCCCCCCCCCCCCCCGCCCACACCAGCCTATGTAGTCTTTAAAGGTGTTCTTAATACAGAAGCTTACTAGTTATTTAGGTTTAGAATATTTTTCTCTCATCTCCATGAAATTATGAGCGGAGCAGGGAACTTGGGCGAGAGACCTTAAAGCGATATAATGTGGGCCAGGCTGCATCGTACACACCTGAGCCTTGTTGCAGTCCCTTTGCAGCCTCGTGCCGCAGTTGCCCTGAGTTAAGCTGCAGACTCGACTTCCTTTTGGTCCCAAAGCTCAGCTGCTTGTGCATACTTCTCTCAACCTTGGGCTCGTTGCGTAAATCCCATCCTTCCCCAACAAGGTAGCTCCGCAGGTGCCTTCTCCCATGTCTTCTCAAGTCCAGTTCTCTATTCCTAGGAGCATCGGCTCTTCCTCTTCTTTTCACAGGGTCCCGACTTGTACCGGGCGAGCCAGCCCTTTGCTTCTCCTGCTCCTGAGAAGTGCCAGGATTCTACAGCGCTGACAACTGCCTTCTCATCCCTAGACTCTGGGCTGCTTTCCGGATACCTGCATAAGCAAGCCCTTGTCACTGCTACCCATTCCTACCTGCACCTTGCTTTTTCCTTCTTGCCGCATTTGTGTTCCTTTCTCCCCATCCTCACCCCCACCCCTGGCAAAATGCATAAAGGATGGAAAAAGTACTGCGGCCAGAAGTCTCTGAATGAGACATCAATGGATGAATATTTAGGCAGCTTAGGGCTGTTTCGAAAGCTGACTGCCAAGGATGCCTCTTGCCTCTTTCGGGCTATTTCGGAGCAGGTAAAAGGAAAATATGTATCTTCCCTATACTGAGTTTTCAGGGTTTGAAACATGGCACGGTACTGTAGCTAGAAGACCTGCAGCCCACCAAAAAAAAAAAAATCCCTTTTCTCTTCCTAGTAAAAACTTCCGGGTCTACCTGGCACTAGCTTGGTGTAGGCCTTTGCTGATCAGTCCAAATATATTGCTGTGCCTTTGCTGTCTTTTCTGTTTTCTAAATGCCAGTTTGGAATGTAAGAGAAATAAGGATGGGATTACAGAAACTTTGAAATGAATCTTGATCCTTTATAAGCAGCCCTACTTTCTCTAAATTTTATGCCCAAGGAAACCTCATAGGCTGTGCCCATGAGTAGAAAAGGGGTGGGGGTGGTAAGACCAAACCCTCTCTCCCCAATCTCATTAAGGGTGGCAAAAACATTTTAGTAAGGTCAGGACCTAATTTTCCCATGTCCTACATATGTTTTGAATAAGGTGGACTTAAGTGTCCAGTTCATCATTTTAATTTGATAGCTATTTCAAATGACTTGAGAGTGAGCTGGTCTTTCTCTTTTTAGTTGTTTTGCAGCCAGGTCCATCATTTGGAAATCAGGAAGGCTTGTGTCTCCTTTATGAGAGAAAATCAACAAACTTTTGAGTCTGTAAGTAGAACACATAAGCAAGGTAGAGATGTCGGTAGAGTGTGTAGTAAATGGGAAATGAATTTTGAGCTGTGTACATCATGAAAATTATGTCCTGCAATTTCCTCTCAATAGCACATACTTAATTTTCAGCTGCCTTCCCTTTAGCATACCTCTAGACCTCCAGAATTAGACTATTTTGTACTCTAATTGAGAATTAAGACAGTTCGTCTGCATCCTTCCCACTACTTTCTGCTCCCATAGACCTCCCCAAACCTCCCAAACCCTAAAACGTTACATTTTGACTAGTGTCCTGTATACTACATCCATTACACTGTTCCTCAAACAAGTAATCATAGTTCACAAAGAGTTTGGCTATGTTGATATTTTAATGTATACTTTCAAATATGTACAAATGGGAAAACCCCTCTGTTCTCTTAATTCTGTGCACAATGCTCTTGAGCCAATATGAATAGTCTTACAAAACCTAATTGTAAGGAAACAAATTAGTTCTAAACATTCACCTTTTCATGTGACAAACTGGTAATAGGTACTCTGCCACTAACAATTGGCTTTAAAACAACTTTTAGAAGACATTTTGCATACTTTGAAGTATTTGAATTCTTATTAATGGAATGAGGTTTTATCAAGGTCTGGTTTGAAGTGTGCCCTCTTGTGAGGCTTTAAAAAATTTTTGTCAGCCCTTACAGTACTGTTTGTTTTCTTCTCACTGTATATTATGGGCATTAGCCTGCTGTTCGAGGTTTACTCTTAATTTTCTCAACAGGTTTCAGTGAATCTTAAAACTGTCAAGCCTTCTTGACTTTAAAGCTTATTACCTAGGTTAAAGTTAATTACAGTCTTTACAACACCTGGGGAAAAGATTATTCATGAATTACTTCAAATGCAAGACCATGGTGTAAAACAGTGCATCTCAAGTATTTTTGTGCATACAAATCACCTGGGGATCTTGTTAAAGTGCAGATTCTGATTCAGTAGGTCTGAGCTGGGGCCCAAGATTTCTGCATTGTTAACAGAACTCCCAAGTGATGCTTGCTCTTGTTCCTGATACAGTAATAGTAACCATGTTTTGAGTAACAGAGACTTGTGTAAAATTTTAAAACTTACATGGATAAATCTCAGAATAATCATGCCAGGAGAAAGTGCATACAGAATATGATTTTCTTTATATAAAACTTAAGAAAATGCAAACCAGTCTGTAGTGATAGAAAGCAGACCAGTGGTTGGAGGTTGGTGTGAGTTACAGAGGGACACAAGGAAACTTGTGGGGGTGATGGATATATTCACTATCAGAATCGTCATGATGGTTTCGTGGGTGCATACATGTGTCAAAATGTATTTGTGCCATTTAAATATGTGCAGTTTGTTGTCTGTCAGTTATACCGCAAGCTGTTTAAAAAGGGATTGAGCAAAATTGAAACTTGGTCTTCAAGTCCAGTGATAACATATACATGAAACTAGACATATATTCTATTCCCCGAGTTGACTTACTTTTATTGAGGTGTATTTTACACACAAATAACATTTACCATTTTAAGTTTGGCATTTCAGTTTGGGCAATAATACATAGTCCTGCAACTGCCATTGCAGTCAATATATGGAACATTTCTATTACCCCAAGAAGTTCCCTTGTGCCCTAGGCTTCTCTGAATCTAATGAAATTCCCTTTAAGTTCCTCAGTTTAACTTTGTAAATGCATGTCTCCTGTCAAAATTTAAAGTCCTTGTGATTATTGGGTTTGCATGATTTATGAAAATTGTCAAGTTACTTAAATTGGCATTTCAAAAGAAACTCAAAAGCATTAACATTTGATGAAATGCACTGGTATGTGGATAAGCCAGGACCAATTCCTAGGACAGTTTTAAAGTCCAGCTTTTCTCCACTCATAACTTTTGTGTATGTGCAAATCTTCTTGAGGTGCTGTGCAAAATAGTCCTTGAATACCATAATTGTTGAGCTGAACAAACACCCATTGGAGGGTAATATTGCAGAATATAATCAGATTTTAGTAATGCTATGTATTTGGTTAAGTCAAGTTTGTTTTATTTTTGAAGTATGTGGAGGGATCTTTTGAGAAATACCTGGAACGGTTGGGAGATCCCAAGGTAAGATCAAATACGGGGGTTTAATCTTTTCAGAGTATTTGGAATAGTAAACCGAAGTATTCATTCAGCTGTGTCGCCTTAGCTTTAGTTAGACGCAACCTATTTTCTTAAGTAGCCAGCTGTGTTGAATCAAATAGTTCTTGCAAAAGTTTCGAAGCTGGCAATTGACCTGTTTTGTGTTGAATGTTGAGAATTCTATGTCAACAATTTTATCATCCATAGACTGCAAACAGGACAAGCCTAAGTCCTTTCATTTTAATGGGGGAGGAGGGATGGCAATGAATGTTACAAGAGGTCATTTGTTACATTTTTTATTCAACACTTCCCCTGATTTGTAGTTATCCTTTATGTGGGAGTAAGCTTCATAAACACATATTTAATTAAAAATAATTTATGTGATTAATTCCATAGTTTTGGACTTAGCATTTACTAAATACCTTGCTAACTTCATAATCTTAACACTAATTCCATTTTTATTGTGCCTTTTAAATCTCTCCTATTAATTGTCCTTGTTACTTCATAGTTAACTGAGAAGGTCTTTAGGACTATTAGTTTCAGAATAAGTTTATGTAAATGAGTAACACAATATCTTAAAACAAGTTATAGTGTGTTCTACAAATTCTTCATTTAAAACGTCTCTAAGCATCCAAAATAACTTGTTGAACTTGCAAAACTTTTACCTGATAGCTACAGAATGTTTTTTAAAAGTTTATGTACTATTTATGTTTAGGAAAGTGCTGGCCAGCTGGAAATAAGAGCTCTTTCTCTAATTTATAAGTAAGTTAAATCTTTTTTTAAAGACTGAGTGCATATGTGTCATTGTGTGTAAAGTTTCTATTAAAGGCTCTTTGGGATTTGGGAATGATCTGTAGAATGAAGATGTCTAAGTACAGTTAATTTGTGTTAACTTTTGGGTGGAGAGCCTCTAGAGTTTGTGTCCATTTGAATGAAATAAAGGACTTTAAGGAATGCTGGTATTCCTGTAGAAAATCAGAATGTCTATCTTAGAATTCTTGTCTGTTTAACTTTGTGCCTCTTCAATGCATCTTTAGTGGGGCAATATAGCTTCCAAGAGGGTAGAAATTGGTTCTTGAAGACAAAAAGATGTTAGATACTATAGTGGTTTGTAGTCCTTCAGAGGGTTACAGTACATAAGCAGATATATGGTATATATCTTGTATTAAAATTTCATAGGAAAATTAAAAAGGCTCTTTAGGCACATGATAATGAACATTTTGAGAAACACTGCTCTATCACTTTGGTCCCCAAAATAGCAAAAGTGGCATTTCTGGAAGCTGTGGGGTTGCACAGAACTATTGAAAAATACTTCTCTAATGTAGGATAGAGGCTAGTGGAAATCTTGTTCATTTGAGGAAGTTGATCTGTACATAAGATTTCCTTCACAGTTTTTAGGATGGTGAGATGGCATATACCTTGGTATAGTCTGAATCTTCTGGTTATGGGTACTCATTCAAGTTAGTGTTTTGCAGTCTGTTCATTTCTCACTAAATCCATCAAGAAGTTGTATAGAAGAGGCATTGGGCAGGTGACTAATCAGTTGTTGCTTTTAAGTCAAGGGCCAGCTTTTTTTTTTTTTTTAACGTTTATTTATTTTTGGGACAGAGAGAGACAGAGCATGAACGGGGGAGGGGCAGAGAGAGAGGGAGACACAGAATCGGAAACAGGCTCCAGGCTCTGAGCCATCAGCCCAGAGCCTGACGTGGGGCTCGAACTCACGGACCGCGAGATCGTGACCTGGCTGAAGTCGGACGCTTAACCGACTGTGCCACCCAGGCGCCCCAAGGGCCAGCTTTTAAATTGGCTTTCTTGCTTTTTATGTATAGCCCTTGAGCTAAGAATGCTTTCTTCAAAGTTTGTAAATGGTTAAATGAAAAGTAGAGTACTGTTACATGGCATGTGAAAATTCTATGAAGTTCAGATTTCAGTGTCTGTAAATTAAGTTTTATTGGAACACAGTCATTTGTGCTTGTTTATCAGGGTCTGACTGCTTTCATGCTACAAAGTCAAAGTTGAGCAAACCATATGGCCTGCAAAAGCTGAAATGCTTATCATCTGGTCTTTTACCAAGTAAAATTTGCCAGCCTATGCTTTAAATAAGTGCGGAGCCCCCAAAACTCAGAAACACACATACAGTTGGGAACCTATCTTCTTTACTTCTCCTTTTCCCAAATTAAGATATGTTTAAGAAATCCATAGGACTTTAGAGAAGTTGGCTATCTACTTTGAATTAATATTATTTAGCCTCTTTAAACATTCAGATTATTTTATATGAATAAGGTGGGCAGTGTGAAAGCCCAGATACTTGTTCTTATAAACTGTCTTCTTGGATATATTAAATTATCTCTTTTCAACCACCTTTGTTTTCTACCCGTGTAGTCGGGATTTCATTCTTTATCGCTGTCCCGGAAAGCCTCCAACTTGTGTCACAGATAATGGCTATGAAGACAAGGTAAGAAGATGAGTGAATGTTTACTAAAATAAAAGAAATTGAATGATGCTGCTGGCTTAACAAGATAATAAGAAATCATTCTTTGTTACCTAATTAATGGGAGGGGGGGAAGCATAGTCTAAATGCCAAGCTTCTCCGCCACCAGCCTTTACCTCTCCATTTAGTCATCCTGAGTGTTGTTAGCCACCCTCCTGAACAGACCTTACCTTACCAGTCCTGTAATAGGTTAAAAAAAAAAAAAACCCCAAAAAACCAAACCTCAATTGGCTCCTTGTTGGCTAGGAGATAAGGTTCAAACCTGGAAGCTAGGCATTTAGTCCCCTTTTCATCTTCACTGTCTTACAACCTTAGTATATTTTGATTCCAGATACTCCGACTTACACTTTTTTTCTTTTCCTTTGTATCTCCGATGTTAACTCCTTTGAAACTCCCAACTCCCCTGGAGTTCTTTCCTCCCTTTGTGTTCCTTCCTCTAGCATCACCCAAGTAATTCTAATCACATTGTATTTGTTTTCATGCTTATTTCTCTCCTAAATCTTCAGTTTCTTGAGAGCAGGCCAGTATGCTACTACTGCCCAGTAAGATGCTTGGAAAATAGTAGGAAGCGGTTTTGTTGGTTGAGAACTCTTAGCCGTTAAACAGATTGTTTTTCAGTATACAGTGTTTCTTCCAAAAAATCTGGGTTATTTTTGTTTTTGTTCATCTATTTGAGAGAGTGAGGGGGGATGAAGGGGCAGAGAGAGAATCTTATGCCAGGTCTGCCCTCAGGGTGGAGCCCCACAGGGCACTGGATCCCACAAAGCTGAGATCATGACCTGAGCTGAAACCAAGAGTTAGATGCTTAACTGAGCCACCCAAAAAGTTTTTAAGGAAAAAAGCTTTTATCCCAATTATTTGATTAGTTAGTAATTGACTTTTTAAGGCTTGTGTCACACCATGGAATATATTTCAGACAACATTTTTTAAAACTTCTTAATGTTTGCTTATTTGAGAGAGAGACAGAGACTGTGCCAACAGGGCAAGGGCAGTGAGAGAGGGAGACACAGAATCCGAAGTAGGCTCCAGGTTCCGAGCTTTTTGCACAGAGCCCAATATGGGGCTTGAACTCAGGAACCAGGGGATCATGATCTGAACCAGTCGGATGCTTCACGGAGCCGCCCAGGCACCATTTATATAATGTTTTTAATGTAGATGGGCTCATGCTAAACATATTATTACTTGTTTTCACCTATCCTCATCAGTAATCTAGATCTACCTCATTTTTTTTTTTTTTACTAGTTTAATGCCATTATATCATACTTGCCTACCCACAAGTATGTATCAGAACTATTATTTTATGTTGGGATACCAATACCACCAGGGACACCTCTTCCAATCAAAATGGAACTTCTTGCCACACGAATAAAGAAACTATACTGTTACCTCTGGAGTTTTTTCTTGCTTATTTATTTAGTTCTGGTTAGCCGGATTCCTTTACTCCTTAACAACTGCCTCCAGTTATTGACCTTTGTTAGTTGGAGTTCCAAGTTCTTCTAGTCCAAATTACACAGGGCTTCTCTGCTCAAAATCTGTTCACTTTCTTTTGGATTAATAAACTCTTAAATGGAAATAACCCCTCAGAGTGCTCAGAATGGTGTGAAACTTCATAACTTTACCGTGAGTTACTTTAGCTTGACACTTGCCCTCAATACTCTGAAATGGTTTATACTGGTGGAGTTGGAATTGTGATTTCAAAAAAAGGCTAGGGAAGAATAACAGACCTGAAGTAGAGAACTTTATTATTGGAAGAAGTTAGCCCAGATTAGGCAGGAAGGCAGCAAACAGGGGACTTGGAATTTTCTGCCAAAGAAGCTCAGTGGCAACATCCTCCCATAGAACACAAGAGAATCCTCTTTGGTCCCTCAGGTTGCTAATACGAGACGTGGCTTCAGAATCAGATAGACTTGGGGTGCCCGGGTGGCTCTAGTCATTTGAGTGTCCAACTCTTGATTTTGGCTCAGGTCATGATCCCAGGGTTGTGGGATCAAGCCCCATGTCAGGCTCCGTGCTGAGCCTGGAGCCTGCTTAAGATTCATTCTCTCTCTCCTCCTGTTCCCCCCCTCCCCCCGCTCACACTCTTTGTCTCTCAAATAAAAGAAATAAAATAGACTTATGGTTAGATACATCCCTTACTCAAGACAGATTTTTGAACCAAAATTTAAAAAGGTTTTAGAGCTGTTAATTCAGACAGTTTTCATCATACAGAGCCTGCAAGCATTTTTACTAAAATATTTTGGTTAGTAAGCATGGCTTTGAATTGTTTGGGAAAACTAGAGACTAAAGATCAGCTAAGAAATTAACTCCTTTTGTAGCTATCTCAGTGCCTTAATTCATTAAGAAAGTCTCTTTAGCAGTATTGTTCCTGTATAATGTATTCATATATTACTACTCGGTAGAATGGATAACCTTTTGAGTAAATTAAGTCTCCCCCTGCCCTCATGATCTGAGTTTGGAGTATTTGGATATTTTACATAATTTCTGCAGTCCTTTTTCAAAGTTAAGCTGGGTCTCTTGACTTCTGTTAGGATTTCTGCTAGATTTACTCAATTTGTAAAAGTTCTATATTTTTGCAAATTCACAAATCAACTTGTTGGCTACATTAATGGGAATGTGATTTAGATTCAGTGTAACCTTATTAGTGATTTTAATCTTGGCATTTAAAAGTCACTTTTGAGAACATCTCTTTTGAAAGTTATAGCTAGCATTTATCTTTATTCAGATTTCAAAAATCACTTTTCCTCAGCTTTATTGAGATATAATTGGTGTGTTAAGTGAAATGAGTCAGAGACAAGGATCTAAAAAAAAATCACATTTTAAAAGACAAATTAATTCTCAATTTCTGGTTAGCAATTTAATTTCAAGTAGTTCATGGTTGTAAGATATGTAACATTCACTTAATTGTTCTGTGTGTTTTTCTTCAGATTCTACTCTGCTATTCAAGTAATGGCCATTATGATTCAGTGTACTCAAAACAATTTCAGTCAAGTGCAGCTGTTTGCCAGGGTATGTGAAAGCTTTACAAATGGTTAGGTGTGTTTCAGATGATTTTGTTTTCCCATCTTTAAATTGAGGGACTCACCGTGAGTAACTCTTCTAAGCTGTTGTGTTGGCACCTATTGAAATTGTATACTGGCTTATGGCTGTTTTCACATTGTCATAAAGAGATCTTACTTTGACAGTTGGACTTTTGGCTTTTTTTCCTTTAGCTGTACTGTATGAAATTCTCTATAAAGATGTGTTTTTTGTGGATGAAGAAGAGTTGAAGACTGCAGTTGAATTGTTTCGAAGTGGTTCCAAAAAGAACAGAAACCATGCTCTGACTGGCAGCGAGGATGTCCATGTTGACTACAAGAGTTCAGCTTGTAATAGGTAATAAAGGGAAAGGGGGTGTCAACCTCAAGATCAACATCATCATTTGAAAGTGGAAGGGGCTTGACATACCCACACATATGTATGTGGAGATCCATTTTCTATTGGGGGAAGAGAAATTTTACCAAAAAGATATGTTGTATTTTGAGATGTTCAGGCTTCGGAGGTTTGATCCAAGTCAGAATCTTTTTTTTTTTTTTTAATTGCTAGAAGTGACTTTAGAACTATGTAACCCCATGGTTCTCAAATGGTGCTTGTTAGGAAGGCAGATTCTTGGGCCTAGTTTCACAAAATTTGAGGTGAGAGTGGGGCCAGGAATCTTCTTTTTTTTAACAAGTATATTCCAAATAATCTGATGTAGGTAAGCTGTGGACCATATTATGAGAAAAAGCTGATTGTAAACCAGCACTATCATTTTGTTAGTTGGTAACTGAGATTCACAGTGGTTACTTGAAGTAGCACACATCCAGCTAGTAGAAAAGAATTTCTCAGACTAAGGGGAGTTTTAAGAGCCTTTGAGTGTCTGCCTTTGGTACTTGCTGGAAATACAGATTGTGGCCTCTGAGGAAACAGCTGGTGTGTCAGAGATCATAAAGTAGGTGTTGTCTTCTATTTCTTCTTGATTCCTACTTATGTGAAGGAAATTCATATAGGCTTGGTGCCAGTCAGGTGTCAACCTTGTCTTTTTGTCTTGATTGCAGTTTTTTTTTTGTAGAAGAGAGGTTTTTAAACTTACTTGTGAATGCAGGGAGTGGCACTCATGCATCAGGGTAAAAGTTGCTTCATTCTTCACTGATGATTTGTCCTAAGGATGTCCGGCTTTGGGCAATTATAGTAGTAAGAAAAAGCAAGATGTACTAGTTACCTATTGCTTCATGACAGTATTACTACAGATTTTGCAATTTAACACACTTATCTCACAGTTTATGTGGACTAGGAATCTGGGCACAGCTTATCTGGGTCTTCTGCTTCGGGTCTCACAAGACTGCAATGAGGTTGTTGGCCAGGATTGAGTTCTTACCTGGAGTTTTGACCGATGAAGGATCCACTTTGACACTCACATGGTTCTTGGCAGCATTTAGTTCTTGAAGCTGTAGGACTGAGAAATGTGTTTTGTTGTTGTTGTTGTTGTTGTTTTGCTGGCTGTCAGCCTAAGGGAACCCTCACCTATTTGTCACATGTGGTTGGTGAACATGACTGCTTGCTTCCTTATAGTCAGCAAGGGACCAGCAATACAGGCACTACGTTCTTATGCAAAATAATAATATACATCTTATCTATTAAGAAGCAAACTTGAGGTAGGGGAATCCTACATGGATGTGAACACCAGGAGGCAAAGATCATAGGGACCATCTTAAGAGATGGAGGTATGAAATATAGGAGATAGTCTGCTTAAGTATATTGTAGTACATCCTAATAAAAAGGAAGCATGAATGTAAATGTTGGGGTGAAAAACTATTTGCCTCATTTTTAGACCTTGAGCTAGTTTACCACTAGGTGGTGGTATAGTCATTAGACTTAAAACTCAGCTACTGCCTTTATATAAAGCTCTTTGTTCTAAATCTTTTCAATTAGGAGTGAAGAGTTGGGTGCCTGCTGCAATGTTGAAAATACACCAGAAGGGTGCAATCAAGGAACAGAAGAAGCAAAGGTTTGAAATTTTCTAGGCAAAGAATTCTCATAATCTTGGCTTGTAGCATCATAACTTAAAAGGCCTTGGGGCGCCTGGGTGGCGCAGTCGGTTAAGCGTCCGACTTCAGCCAGGTCACGATCTCGCTGTCCGTGAGTTCGAGCCCCGCGTCGGGCTCTGGGCTGATGGCTCGGAGCCTGGAGCCTGTTTCCGATTCTGTGTCTCCCTCTCTCTCTGCCCCTCCCCCGTTCATGATCTGTCTCTCTCTGTCCCAAAAATAAATAAACGTTGAAAAAAAAATGTTTTAAAAAAAAAAAAGGCCTTAAGTTAAGGTCAAGCAGTCCATTCTAGTTATATGCGGTGGGGGAGGAGTTCGTGTTTTCCTTTGTGGAAGTTTTAATCTTAAAATGTAAAATGGGTGCTTAATGTTGTCTGAGTATTCTTAATGGAATTGTATAGATTGTTTTCAAAGCAATCTCTGAACACTTTAGAATTTTCAGAAGCTGTTGTTTTCAAATTAAATATTACAAATCCAGTAATAGATACTTTGTGATGAATCTTATGGATGCTAAGGTTTTTCTCTGTCATTAAAGTATGTGATGCTTGCCCTATTCTGTTCAAAGGAAATAGGTAATAATCCTGCTTGAAGAAACAGAAATTTTTACCGTCTTTATAGTCCTAAAATCAAGCAGACCTTTAGTTTGAGGCTAGCTCAATAGGGCAAATACTATTAAAATAATGTTTATTTATGCCCCAAGTTCTGGGAATTTGGGAACAGTAACTATTGGATATGGTGAAATTCTAGGAAAGCAGAAGAAAAAGGAAATTCCTTTGAAAGTTGCAACAGATTTTTACCAAAATGAAATAGAATTTTCAGGTGATTTTAGGGTACAAGAACACTTGCACCTCTCTGTGTATATCAATATGAGATTTATTGAATAGCCTGACTGAATCTTTAATCTTTGTGTTGCATTGATTTATGTGAGATATATCCTAAATTGTTGGCTGCTTTCAATATTTCCCTTCTGCCATCTAAAACCTTTTAGATTATTTGCATATTGCTTCTTTAATCTCCTGATTTTTAAAATACGCAACAAAACTTAACTGTGGCATTTAATTCTTTTTTTAATAAAGAAGGAAAGGGAGGCATATGTACATAGTTAAAAAAAAAAACAACTTTCTTTCTTCATAGAAGGAACTTTGAAGCTAAGGATGATGATTTTGTAGCATGATTATTTTTGTTTTAGTCTCCAGAGAGTCCATCAAAGATGCTCTTCCCGTATAAGGTGCTTAAAGCCCTGGATCCAGAAATCTATCGTAATGTAGAATTTGATGTTTGGTTGGACAGCAGAAAAGGTAATGAAATATTGACAGCATGCTTTTGAATCCTGACCTCCAGGGGAAAAAATTTGCAAATTATTTCTAATGAGATGTTTTTAACGTACTGTTATAAAAGGACAGCCTCCTACTTTTTAGCTTACTTAATACATGATTTTAAATCGAGAAGAGGAAACATAGAAGTGGGGAAGGATCTTTTAGAATACGATGTTTATCTGGGACTTTTAGTTTTGCAAAGACTGTGGAGATACCCTTTAGATAACTTTGAGTACCCAAAATATGTAACTGTAAATAAGCTTATCTTAAAGTGTTAAAACTACTCACTAAATGAATAGGTCAGGTGTCCACAAACTGGCCTTTAGAACAAATCTTCCCTGCTACCTGTTCTTGTGTGGTCTGTGAGCTAAGAATGGTCTTTATATTTTTAAATGGCAGAAAAAATTGTAAAAGAACAGTGTATTTTGACACATGAAAATTATGTTAAATTCAATTGTCTATAAGTAGTTTTATGACAGAATTGAGTGGTTGTGACAGGGTCTGTATGGCCCACAAAGTTTGAAATACTTACTCTTTACAGAGAAAGTTTGCCAGCTGTTGAAATAGGTAATTGTTTATGACTCCCTATAAGAGAACTAAGTTATTCAAATTTGCCCTTAAAGTTCTGCCTTCAAGGTAGCCTTTTAATGTTTCATATTCAACTTCTTGAACCTTGGTGAACCTAGGTATAATTAGCAGTCTAACGATCTAGAATGAGGTGAAGACACAATAAGTTGTTAAAAATAATAAGATGCTTTGAAGAAACTAGGTAGTGTTTGTTTTTCATTGAGGTGTGTTAATATCAAGTTGTTTCCATTGGTATAACTAAGATTACAGCCTCCCAATTTCCACCTGTGTTTTATAGCACCAAACTATTTTGGCAGGTCTCCTTAAATTAACCACAGAAATAACCTGTCAAGAGTAATGGAATGACCCTTTAGGACTCTTCCCCCACCAGTCCTGCCCCCAGGTTTCAGCTTATAGTAGTAGCATTGTCAAAAACACTGGTAAATGTAAAGTAGAAAATTAAATGGTGTAAAACGGGAAAGGAACCAGTTCAGTTGAGCCTGAATCTTCATTTTCTTTTAATAGAACTTCAAAAAACTGATTACATGGAGTATGCTGGGAGACAGTACTATTTGGGAGACAAGTGTCAGGTTAGTTCATCCTTTAAAAACTCAGTAATTTGGGGGCGCCTGGGTGGCTCAGTTGGTTAAGTGTTCAGGTCTTGATTTCAGCTCAAGTCATGATCTCATGGTTCATGAGATGGAGGTTCACGTCGTCCTCTGCACTGACAGCACAGAACCTGGTTGGGATTCACTCTCTCCTTCTCTTCCCTCCCCCTGCTCCTGCTCACTCACTCTCTCTAAATAAATAAGCATTAAAAAATTAGTTTTTCCAAGGTTTCAGTTTTAGTTCAACAAAGGTCATTTACAAAATGCTAGAAAAAAATTTTTAATGGTTGTATTAAATTTTAATTACAAGCTTCTGTGAGATGATGTAAGGATCTTTTTTATCATGTGCCACATCTGTTGAGCCAGACTGGCTGGCAGTGTTTATTAGCAACTGCTTTGATAAGTAGACACTGTACTCTGGGGGAGGAGTTGTATTTTTGTTTGTCAGAAGCCAGATCTGGCAAAAGACTTGAGATTAGATGTATGTTTACTGTCTCCTATTCTCTTTCAGGTTCGCTTGGAATCAGGTGGAAGATATTATAATGCTCATATTCAAGAAGTTGGAAATGAGAATAATTCCGTTACAGTCTTCATTGAAGAATTGGCAGAAAAGTAAGAATACAATAGTTTGTTGTATTACTAAAATCTTTGGCTCTTGATGCCTTTTTGTAGTAGTAAATTGAGAATTGCCAGGATGCTAGTAAGAGATCCAGAGTTACATCTGGTACCAGCTTAAGATGACTTATCTCAGATTGTAAAAGCATATGCTGAAATATGAAATCTCAGTATACTTGTATATAAAAGTTTCCAAATCCCTAGGCTCTAGTCAACTTACCAGAAATACTAAATACAACAGAATTCTGGTATAAAACCATTCATACTAATTGGAAAGCTGGTTTGCTAAACAAGCTTCTGCCTGTACCAAGATAAGCTAGTCTGGTAATTCTCAGACTTTAACATGCCCCAGAATTACCTAGAGAGCTTGTTAAAACAGATTGATGAACTCCATTCCCAGGGTTTCTGGTTTCAGTATATCTGATGGGGCCCAAGAATTTGAACTTCTCAGTAATTTCCAGGTGATAACTAATGCTATTGGTCCACTTTGAGAACCATTTAACTTGATTAAGCTGCCCTTCTAACCAAAAACTCAGTAGCTTAAAACAAGTTCATTTCTTGTGTTCATTTAGCATTTCATAGTGTGTCAGAAAAGGGGATCCAGGCCATCAAAGGCTCTATCTAGACCCATTTCCATGATCATAGGGGAAAGAGGCGAACTTGACAGACCACGTGGTGGTTCTTAAAGCATCTCCTTGTGTTTTATTGGCCAAAGTGGATTACATAGCTGAGCCTGAAGTCAATGGGATGGGAAACTATCATCCTCTTCCAAGGAAAGGCAACAAATATTTGTAGACTAGTCTGTCACAGTCTTTCCTCTGGAACGTGATATATGCTACAAATAGCTGTGAAATTGTACAAATCACTCTTAGGTTTTCTAACCTAAAAAGAAAACCTCACCAGGGTAGCAAGTGTGTCAACAAGTTTAAGTAGAAAATGCTTGAAATGAAGTGGATGGGTGAGGGTATGTATATCCAGTGAAAATTAAGTCTGTGTTGCAGCGGCTTTATGGTGGTATCTTTAATTTTAAGGCATGTTGTTCCACTGGCTAACTTAAAACCAGTTACCCAAGTCACACCTGTTCCTGCCTGGAGTGGTATGCCCAGTCGGAAAGGAAGAGGTTACCAGAAAATTTCCGGAGGCTATGTCCCAGAAATGGGTTTGTATACTGAAGGTTTTTATTCTTTACCCCTTCTTAAGATCTAACGGAAGTCTTGTTCTCAGGTAGAGTTCAGCATTACTGACATTTTGGTATGGAAAACTTTGCTGTGTACAGCTGTCCTATGCATTGTAGGTTGCTTAGCATCTTTTGACTGTCTGCTAGATGCCAGTAGCATCTTTCCCACAGTTGCAACAACCAAAAATGTCTCCAGACATTGCCACATGGGTCTCAGGGTGGGGAGGGGCAAAATTGTCTGGTAGAGAACCACTGTTCAGGGGACTTTGTGCTAACAAGCTGGAGTAGATTTTAGACTCTAAAACTTGAAAGGATTTCTCAGAGAACTAGGAAAACACCTCATAGAAGCAGACATTCTATTAGTAGCCATAATTTCTGGGAAAATAAGTAATGTAGGTGACTGAATGACTGTGTTTTGATGAGCAAAGCCACCTGAACTAAAGATCATGTGGAGATGTCCATTGATAGGGGAAATTGCCTGCTGGTTTTGCCCTTCCAAATGGAAGATCTAGTACATCCTTAAAAAATACAGTCATCACCTTCCTGTATTTATTTGGTTTGTTCCCTTAAAAAGTCTAGGCATTTGGGTGGGGGGGGGGGGATTGGATCTCTTGGCTTGGTTATGAAGCTTATTTCCTACTTTGTTTGCCTGAAAGCTATGTCAGAGATGGACATGAAGCAACGGAAGAAGATGTTCAAAAAAGTTAGAGGAAAAGAGGTTTATGTGACTATGGCTTACGGCAGGGGAGACGCCTTCCTCCCGCCCAGGCTTCAGCACAGCATGCATTATAGGCACGACCCTTCAGTGCACTATGCACAGACAGCTGCCAATGTCCTGTCTAATGAGCATTTCCATCCTCAACATCCACCTCAGAGACAGGGTCGGGGATATGGGATGCCCAGGTAAGGCTTAATTGACTTCCAAGGTAGTGTACATCTCTATTTAGGTATTGTGAACAATTCCTAGACAGAATTAAAGTAGAATTTAGAAATATCTCAATAGTTTAGCTTTCTTTTATAATCTTTGCTTAGTGGATGGAACTGATGTGTACTCAAATTTTTTTCAAATGAATTTATTTTATTCTCACTGAACAAATACGGAATGGTTGAAGAGATAAGCTAGAGCTATCAAGATGAGTGTCGTGGATATGGCACTGTATCCACTAATAATGGATAGGCCTAATACAAGTAGTGAGGGCAGAACAGCTCTTTCTATTGGGATATTTTTAGAAAAATGTGTTAATTCTACTTAAGTGCCGATAATATGATAAATAATTCTATTTAAGTGCCAATTACTAGATAAACAGTTTTGTTTTCCTTTCCCTTCATTCTTAGGGATTCATCTCGCTTTATCAACAGGCATAACATGGAAGCCCCTAAAGTTGGTTTTTACCCTGGCCCAGGTAAAAGGTGTTGCCAGGGCTATGATAACTTCTCCTATAGATCTCGGTAAGTGAATTTTAAATGTTGAAAATCAGAAAATGGGCAAGTTGGGCTTCATTGCTGAGTGACAAATACATGGATTAAATTTTTTTTAGTGTCAGCATTGAGATGTTTGAACAGTTATTTAGAAATTTGGAACAAGTTACCATACCATATTTTAACTTTTTTCCCCTTTTCTCTGAACTACTTAATGCTTAAGTTCCTTTAGACGTAGTCACCGCCAGATGCATTGCATGAACAAGGAGTGCCAGTATAGCTTTGCCCCAGAGAATGGACAGATGCCCAGGGGCGTAGAAGAAACCATTACCTTTTACGAAGTTGAGGAAGGGGATGAGACTGCTTATCCAACTTTACCTGTAAGTAGGTCAAAGCTTTAATCGAAAAGCTGTTTACTTTTTCTCTTATTTTTTTTTAAGTAAAGGCAGTGTGGATATGTTTTAGCTCTTTGAACAAACTGCAAATAAAACACGGAAACCTTGAGCTTTTATCTTAGAGCTTTTAAAGATGGGAGAGGAGAACTTTTAAAGCTATTTTTAGAGAAAAAGAGTAGAGGTGGACAAATACACTTGCCTTATGGGCTAATATTTTCTGTTTTCTTGATAATTTTCTCACATATTTTGATTCCAAAGTACATTAAAATACAGCTTTTTTTGATGAACTGTGTGTCTTTGGTACAGAGTCATGGAGGGCCCTCCACACTGGTTCCTGCTGCTTCGCGATACTGTGTTGCAAGGCGAGGACATAGCTCAGGCAAACAGACCTTGAAGTCAGAAGGGGCCAGTGGCCAGAGTCACAATGGTGAGTCAGTTACAGTTAAATGTCTCTTTAAAAGAGGATTCTTGTGGCATTAGTCATCAGGGCTGTGAAGTAGACTTAACAGGTTTTGGTTTTGGGGTCTCACACTTTTCCAGTAACTCATTTTGAATGAGTTCTCAGTTCTTGTCTCAGAGCTTTGCTAGGATTTTGAAGATGTCTTGGTCTTTCTCAGAAGGCCAGACCTCTATTTCTATAGGCCACCACATCGTTATAACTTATTTTCAGCTCTCTGCATAGGTCTTTTAGTGAGTTTTGATTTGGTGGGATTTTGGTATAGGAAACATCTGTTCCTTATGAGCAAGGCACTTCTGTTACGGTGAAGACCATTTGTTTGTATATTTTAGGCTTTTCTGTGACTAGCTTCTATTGTACAAAACTGCTATAAAACAGTCTTTGCCTGAAGAAGTCTACTTGACTTAGAACTTTACTATTCATTGTATTCTCTTGGTCATCTACTGTACTAAGTGTATTTATAATTTAATCTATTTAACTGTATCCCTCAAAGGAATTTGGTACCCTTGTTTGTTATATGAGGAAATTGAGGTTCAGAGGGTAAATGACCTGGCCAAAGTCGTACCTTTAGTAAGTGACAGAGATTTAACTTTTTTATAACTGCTTTATTTAGATATAATCTACATAGCATATAATTCACCTGTTTAAAAAGTGTGCAGTTCAGTGATTTTAGTATAGTCACAGCGGTGAATGACCATCACCACAATCAACTTTAGAACATTTTGTCACCCCAAAAAAGAAATCCTGTACTAATTAGCCGCTCCCCATTTTCTGTACCAACCTCCCTTCCCCCCCCAGCCCGAGGCAACCACGAATCTGTTTTCTGTCTCAAAGGATTTGCCTATTCTGGACATTTCATACAAGTGTAATCATGCAATATATAGTCTTTTGAGATTGGCAGAGATCACTTTTGAATTTGGGTTTGTCTGACACTAAAGCCTATATGTATGTTCTTAACAGTTGTTAGGGTGTCTCTCACTATGGGGTGTGCTTATTTTTACCATTTTATCATAAAATGATCCGTAAGCGACAATTCTACTCAAACAATTCTGGAGGAATTGAGTGGATTAAGGCAGTGTGAGGCAGTCTCAGTGACTTGACTTAGCAGTCAAGTTCTTTATTTTCTTGTATGTTCTTCTTTCTACTACTGATGTAGAAGAAAAAAGGTATTTCTGGGAATTTAATGAGGACAAAACATCTAGCACAAGAATGATCTGTGAAGACTTTGTCCCCATGCATGTGCATGCATGTGCTTAAGGGTGTATGTTCTCTGCTCTTCTACTCAGCATGACCCTTTTGTCTTTTCCCTTTAGCTTGGTGGGTACCTTCAGATATACTGCTCACCTGTAGTGGCATATTCAGAGTAATCAAATCTTTGTTCCCACTGTAAATCTTGCTGTCTGGAGTGGTTGCATGTATGTGTTTGATAAGTGACATATTTAAGAATCAAATCCCGTTTTGACCTGTGGGGTTTTATTTGGTGGAAAACTGTCCAATTGATGATTAATTTTCTCTGCATTTCAATGGTATTGTAGTCTTAAAGCAAAATACTTTAGTTCACTGAGCCATCCTCTGAGAACAAACCAACTTTAAAAGTATTATTTACTTAAAACAGCCTGAGAAACAGATGAGGCATGATACACCCCTTTAATGTCTACTTAAGCAAACTATGGGTCATACTTAGTACTTTACAGACACCATTTACTATATATATTAAGCACCATGTTCTGTTCTTTTCACCCCCTATGAGCTGGGTACTGTTAACCCCTGTTTTATAGTGCAGAAATTGATGCACTATAACCCACTTAAAGTGATGTTAAGTTCTATAAGTTAGTCAGGATTCAAATCTAGACAGCCCTAACTCCAGAGCCAGTGAATTTAATCATCATACTCTACTGCTTGACTGGAAAGATTGGATACAGCTCTGGGTTTTTCACCTCTGCCTGAACTCTTAAGAACTAAGGAAATTTTCAGAGGAGGAATTTGTCCTGTTTACTGTCAGTCCCTGGCTTCTATATCTGTTAACTGGTATGAAAGATCAAATCACCTGTTTCAAGGACATAGACATTTTAGTTTTGAATATATATCCATAAAACTTGAGAAAAAGCAAGTGCTGGCCATCTGGCTCTGCTGAGCTGAAAAGCCCTACATAAACACTTCTTCTGTCTTTTTTTATAGGGAGATATCATGAAGATTATATTTATCCTTCAGGTCAGTGAGATCTAGATATACTCTGACATTCTTCATTGTTTATACAATTTTAAATTGTAAAATAATGCTCATGTTTTACTTTACTTTGGCTATATTCTCTAGAACCAGACTATGAAACTTCACGTGTTTATAGCACAACTGAATCTACAGCAAACTTGGTAGGTATTTCATAATAATGGCAAGCACTTCTGTCTCCTATGTACTAGGGCACTGTTCTCAGAGCTATATATAGAAATATATTTAAATCAGAACAACCCTATGAGGTAGGGTTTCACTCCCATTTTGTAGATGAAGAAATTAAGACCCTGGTGTTAATGTATTTAGAGATCGTCCTAATGTGTTGATATAATAGGAAATTCGGACACTGGCAGTGATGATTTTTTTAGGGGATTTTATTATGATTTTTCAGTAAGAGTGGGCCACAAGTCTTAGTAACTTCACATAACAAAAGTTTGTTTCTTGGTTCTGCTCCACGTCCACTGGAGGTCTACAGGAGGGCTCTGCTCAGGGACTTGGGCTGATAGAAGCTCCATTAAAAGGGTAGTGAATGATGCACTGGCTCATAACAGCCTCCACCTGGAGATGACACATGTCACTTACTTTTTCATCTGCCAGAGCATGCTCCACTGAAGAGTCTAATTTCTATGTGCCTGAAAGTCAAAAAGTTTGAAATATTTAACAGCACTAAGGACCACAACATTCAACTCAAACTCCCTCCCACAGGCAGATTACTTGCTTCCACCTCAAGGGAGGCAATCTAGAAATCTTATTCAGTGTAATTAAACTCAGAGCCCAAGGTTTCTGGGAAATGTGTAGTGTTCTCTGAATTGGGTCCAGATGTGGCTCATCTTCATTTGGAGGCCTAAAACCAAAGATACAAAGTTATTTCATCCCTACGCACCCAATTTACAGTGGTGGAGCCGACTAAGAATGGCAGTAAAAATTCCCATTCAGAAAGAGGGGAAAATGGGAGAAACACAGTTCATGGCCTGTAGGTGACATCCTGGACAGACAACCTAGACATGGGGACTCTTCCCTGGAGAGGCTCTCTGATTCATTGCTTTCTGGGGCTCTTGGTTGCTCCAAGGCCCTTCTTTCCTTGGCCATATTTGAAGTAGGCATTGGAGAATAGTCCTTCTTGGCAGCTGAGGAGCTTTCTCAGCCTGCTTCTCATTCAAAGAAAATTGGAGCCCAAGGCTTGTTTTATCTCAGTTGGATGGTTTTAGTTCTCATAGTGTCTTTGGCTGTGTGATTAATTTATTATGCTGCTTCTCTGTTTGATTCCTATTAGTTTTATATGCCGGTAGCCATACTGACATTTCTTGTTCTATAGATACACTACTTAGATTTGCTATAATTTGCTTTCTTATTCCTCTCTGTCTCTCTCTCTACTTGATTGCAAGTACCTGGGCTTCTCAGGGATGGAGGAACCATACTTTTAGAGGCTTTTCCGTGAGCCATTTTGTCCAAGAGCAAGGATTCAATGGATATTGCATCCTTAGTTGGACACATGCTTTGAGATATCTTAATGTAGTCAGATTTTAACAGTGATTTGAGTTCTGCTTCAAAGCCAAGTTTTAACTGCTCTTCGTTGTCCAAAGCACTTAATCAATTCTATATTTTACAGTTTGGGGTTGAAGCAGTTACCTCTTCAACCCTGTAAGTCTCTGTATTCAAGGATTCTCTATTCCGTTTCATTCCTGCCTACAAACTACTTTTTCTATACACACCTGTCTTAAAATAGGTTGCTAAACTCTGCCAACAGTAATCAAAACACAAAACGAACATTGTTTTGCAAACCTCCCCTAGGAGCTACAAGCTCATAATCTCCTTTTCAAGTGACATTTTTGTTACAGTAGCACCCTACTTCTAATTACCAAAATACCATTTCAGTACAGCTAAGTTATGCTACAGTAACACTCCCCCCCCCCCACGCCCACACGGCTTGGTGGTTTAACACAGGACAGTTGTTCTTGCTAATCCTGTGTCTAGTGTAGGTTGGTAGCAGGCTTTTGTTTGTCATAGTCACTTAGGGGACCCAGACTAATGGACATGGGCTTTCACAGGTACTTTGGAGAACTAAATAAGGTAATTGAACACTGGCTTTTAATACTTCTGCTCGTATTTCATTGACCAGATATATCACATGGCCACACCTAACTTTAGACAGGGCCAGGAAGAACAGCTGACCATGTACCCCGAAGGAGAACTGGGATATTTTTAAGAACTTGTTCTCTAGAATAGAGAACTTTGTTCTCTAACTATGGCAAATCTTAATTTCACATACTGAATTTTTGTTTTCATTGTTCAGGTGATACATTTTAGGAATGAAGAAAACTATGATATGTGATTCTCTTCCCCTTATTTCTCTTTCCCTTTCCTTGTCCCTTCTAGAGGAATAGTTTTTCCCCCCACTCTGCCATTATTATTCTCCTCGTCGGCTTTTTATGCCATTTCTTTAAATAGCCACCCTAGTGATTTCACTCCAGTGAAAAAGCAACCAAAAATCTCACCATCCAGTTTGATAAGAGTAGATACTTAATTTCTTTCTGTCCCTTTATCATTTGTCACATGTTCCTTTTTGTTCTGAATTTCCATTATCATACATCCCGGGTAACTTTCAGTCCCTTCAGGATGTGCTCCACTCCCACACCCCAGTCACCAACGCTGTAGCAAGTTTTTAAGTAATTTTTATCACAGCATGCTGTGGGGAGATGTTCAGCGCAGGACTTAAAGATGTCCAGGCTTTAGAGCCTGTAACAAAACTGTGAACATTTATTGAAACTTCTTATTTCTGTGCCCAACTCTCAACTGAATCCTTCTGTAGAATTGTTTAACATTCACCCTGGGCTTTCTGAGCCAAAGCCAAAGTTTGCTTTTTGGCAGGTGCGTTGGGTGTACTTGAGCACAAACTTTAGAAATGTGCAGTCTTAGATCCACGTTAACTTGGGCTCATCTTTGTCACAGTGTGGTTCCTCTTGTTTTCTGCGATTACTTCCCTTGATTCTCTCTATGTTACTTTCATTATTAAACCAATTTCTGCTGCTAGGTTTTTTGTTTTTGTTGTGATGACTGTTTGTCCTGCTTAGCTCTGAGCCTTTTAAAATCTTTTTTACTTTTACAAAGAGGGTCTTGAACCAGAGGGGAGTGGTTACTTGGAGTATACTCACTCCATCCTGCTTAGATAGGATACAGCTGAATAACCAGATATCCACCCTTGTACCAAGCTGCATCTTTATTTGGAATACTTTCTTTTAGCAACACTGTTCTTGGTCCTACCGATTTCGAAGCTTTTAAGGCAACAAAGGCCACTGAGAAATGTTTAAATTACAGTCCTCTATTACATTTTAGTTACCTACATTGGACTAGAATTGGATATGATCAGGATCTCTGTAGATAGGAAATAGCACAATCACCTGAATCAGGCACTACAGTGATACCTTTTGGAATGTTCTCTTAGTAGTTGCTTCCAAATCTGAATACTTTCAGGACAGAGCACTTTTCACCTAATTTAAGAAGATACTGAAATCAGATCTTTTATCGATGTGCTATTTGGTTTCTTGATTCACCTTATTTAACTATACTTCTGTATTCATTAAAGTCTCTTCAGGACAGAAGACCATGTTCTATGTCTCCTCAGGACACAGTTACCTCATACAACTATCCCCAGAAGGTAATCTTCGTAGTGTTCTCAAACAATCAGTTGGGGGGGAAATGACTTTTTTCCTTTTTGTTCTCCTTGCCCTTCATCTTATTTAAAAAACTTTTTTAGGGGCGTCTGGGTGGCGCAGTCGGTTAAGCGTCCGACTTCAGCCAGGTCACGATCTCACGGTCCGTGAGTTCGAGCCCCGCGTCGGGCTCTGGGCTGATGGCTCAGAGCCTGGAGCCTGTTTCCGATTCTGTGTCTCCCTCTCTCTCTGTCCCTCCCCCGTTCATGCTCTGTCTCTCTCTGTCCCAAAAATAAATAAACGTTGAAAAAAAAATTAAAAAAAAAATAAAAAATAAAAAAAAAATAAAAAACTTTTTAAATGTTTGTTTATTTTTGAGAGAGAGAGTGAGTGTGAGTAGGGGAGAGGGGCAGAGAGAGAGAGACAGAATCCGAAGCAGGCTCCAGGCTCTGAGCTGTCAGCACAGAGCCCAGTGTGGGGTTTGAACCCACGAACCATGAGGTCATGACCTGAACCGAGGTTGGATGCTTAACCCACTGAGCCACCCAGGCTCCCCTAAAAGAAGTTGTTTATATATATATCCTTATCTTAACTATTATTGTACTTTGTGGTGCCTGGCACAGTGCTTAGTAAATTCATTCAACAAATTGATAATCTCCTGTGTTCTAGACACATTCTGTGTGTTGACGTTTGACTACTCATAGTCTCTTTATACCGAACCTCTTATATAATAAGCAAATTAATATGAATTCACTGTCAATTTGGTCATTTGATGAAACTTTTAAATGTAAAGAATACAGACTTGGCATCAAAAAGGTAGCTGAAACCATAGGAGTGAATAAGATCATCCTGGGAAAAGGAAGAGATTGAGAAGAGCATCCAGAACAGAGCCTGTAGATCACCAAATTTTAGCAGATAGGTAGAGAAGGAATAGCCAAGGAGGGGGTGGGGAGAGGAGAGTGTATTATTCTGGAAGCCCTAGTAAGAGAATGTTTCAAGGAGCAGTCAAGTGTCAGTTGCTGCCAAAAGGTCAGGCAACATAAGGACTAGCAAGATTCTACTAGGATATGTTGCAATGAAGACCACTGGTGACTTTGAATTCGGTTTCTGAGGACCAGAACGGGTAGCAGCCACACAGCGATGGGTGGTAAGAAAATGGAGACTGCATTGAGAACAGTGTGTTCAAGAAGGGTCTGTTGTTATTTGTTGAGTATATCTCTGTGCACAGCACTGTATTGAGTGTTGTGGCCTAATCAGACAAATCAATTGCAGTCACATGAAGCTTACACGCAAAAAAGCAAAGTACCTTTTCTATTAAAAAAAAAATTAAAAACAGTGCATTAGCATGGGGGAAATGGACACACATGTAAAAATAAATGTAACAGTATCTGGATAACACGTAGGAAATGCAGAGGTCACCTGTTTGGGGAGAGGGGAACTAGGCAGATGGAGGATAGGGGTTGGAAGGAAACATCCCATTGTATATAATTTCATACTTGATTTTTGAATCTTATTAATGTATCACCTTTTCAGAAAAATAATAAATTAAAAATTTACGTATCTTAAAGGTAATTGTGGTCTCCTAAAAGAAATAATCTTATTTATATAGGGTTTACATAAAGATTAATTTCTCAGTGTTGTCGTTATCAAAATACACTGTATCCTGAAATAGAGGATCAGAAAAGAGCCTCCTGGTGTTTGAGAAATCCCTAAACTTTAAAACTTTTTTCTACACTTACAGGTGATGGCAAATTCTGCAGCAGGTGCAGCTTCCTGTGCCAATAATGTTCCAGCTCCAGTCTTACCTAGCTGTGCAGCAGCTAATGAAGCTAGTAGTACCGCTTCAGCCTCCTCACAGAATGCTGTACCGCCTCTACTCGTGTCTCCATCTATGCAAAGCAGGCCAGGTAGGTTGTTAGTGGTTGCTGACTTGGGGAAGCCTCTTTTCCTATTCGTGAACACGCATAGAATGACAATTATAGTGATTAGATAGGGCTACTTTAATTTCTCGTATTAAATTAGTTTAACCTACTTAATAACGTATGTTCTGTAGTTGAGGAATCCTTGAAATTTGAGAGCCAGGATTTCAATATTTATCTTGGCTTTGATACGATTTTGTAGCTGGAAACTTCGAGGACTTTACTAATTTCTTAAACTTTCAGTTTTATTATACAGGAATGAAAGTAGAGGTGTTTCATACTTCACAGAATTCCTGAAAAGTTTGCTGTGAAATATATTTTTATATAATCATTTTCTCATGAAAGAATATAGGCTGTAGAATTTAAGAAATTTAGGTTAGATTCTTGGTTTTGCAACTCACTAGCTATGTAATTTTGGACAAGTTATCGAGCCTTTTTGTAGCTTGGGGGTACTGATAGTACCAATTTATGAAGTGGTTGTGAAATTCTAATGAGTTAATACAATTTAATGCTCTCAGAATTCTGAGAAGGTGGTGGCAAAAACAGGATAGCTATTTAATCTGAGGCTTCAAATAAAAATGGAAATAGCAAAACCAAAACCCGTGGACAACATTTATAATAAAATTAGGTGACAAGGTATCCCCACACACCCCAAAACTTAAGCAGGTAGAACAAACCACCAGTCCCAGGACTGCATGCTATCAGTTTCTATGTGGGAGCAAGAAGATGGAAGGAAGCATCAGGGATGTTGTCTGATGGACCTGGGAACAGGAGAACCCCAAAAGAGCTAAAAAGAATTCACTGGAAAGTGGGGCAGCCAATTCGGAAGGAGCACCTAAGACTGGGAAGGGATTTGATCTCTCCAGTACTAGGTGAGTGCTTTGGGTACATGGTAAAGGAAATGAAGGGCTTGGAGCAATCTGGCTCCTAAGAACTCTCAAAACTGACCTGCCAGGGCTCCCTTTTAAGATAGTACTCCTCACTGGGGAGAAACTGCTGGGAGTGAAATCAGAATTGATCAGGACAGGGAAAAGAGCCTATCCAGACTGAAGATGAGAACAGAGCCAAGGAATCCTAGAAAGCAGTCCTGGGTTTGAACACTACCAAAAAACAGAACGATCCTGTATCCACCTCATTCTAAAGTTCGTGAAAAATAATTTCACGTAACAAAGCAGTAAGGTCAGATCCTATACTAAGATGTTTTAAGAACAAAAAAATAACCTGTGTATAGGCAGTAAAAACATGTCAAGAAATGTGCTCACTAATGCAACTAAACAAACACCTATTTCAGAATGAGCTAAAGATCAGATAATCTAAAACATTGGAGTATAACTAGCTGGAATTAGAATAAAAACTTAAAAAAATAACCAATCAGAATTAAAAAAAACTCAAATTAGGTGACAACATAGGAAAGCATTAGAAATGGCAGAAAGTCATTTCAGTACTGAAGACTGAACTATAAAGGACATGATCAGGTATATACAAAGATGATGCTTTATTTTTTTGTAATTTTTTTCAATGTTTTAATTTATTTTTGAGAGAGAGACAGAGCATGAATAGGGGAGGGGCAGAGAGGGAGAGACAGAATCCAAAGCAGGCTCCAGACTCAGCTGTCAGCACAGAGCCCGACGTGGGGCTCATCACGGGCTGTGAGATCATGACCTGAGCCAAAATTGGATGCTTAACCAACTGAGCCGCCCAGGCGCCCCCCGACGACACTTTAAAAGAAAGATGGAAGAAGGGGAGGGGGAATTGAAAATGAAGAAAAGGAAGATAAAGATTCAAAAGTGACATGTTAAACATTAGGCAAAGGAGATCAGTGATAGAAGTCTCTGAAGAAGAAAACCAAAGTAAGGGAAAAGAACAAATACTGAAAACTATAATTCAGAAAACTTTTCCTGAAATTAAAAATCTTTAAAACTATATACTGAAGCAACACTCTGCATATTTGAGAATAATGACTCAAAACAGCCTACCAAGGTATTCTAGTAAAATGAGTGGTCTTTAAAGAGAAAGTCCTTTGTCCAGATAAAAGAGTCTATGGAATATAAAAGAAGTAAAATATAAGCATCAAACTTTCACAGAAGTGCTTTATGCTAGAAGAAAATGGAGTAACGTTTAAAATAAGCAACGTATAAACCAAAGGTTTTATGTGCAACCAAACTTAATTTAGAAGAGAGTAAGAATTCAGAGGATATTATTTGCATGAGCCCTTCCTGAACAATCTACTAAAGCTATGCTGTCAACCAGGGTAATTACTGGCCACATGTAAAAATTTAAGTTTTAGTTAATTGCAATTAAATAAATCTTCAGTTCCTCACTTGCACCAACCACATGCCAAGTGCTCAAAGCCACATGTGGCCAGTGGCTAGCGTATTGGACAGCAGAGATCCAGAATATTTCTACCATCACTGAAAGTTGTATTAGATGGACTTCAGTGTGCCAGAGGAGTTGACTTTTAGACTACCAAAACAAGTTAAGGATATCAACAATAAGACCTGATGGGAAGTATTAAACGTATAATTACCTAAAGAATGAAGACAAAATGAGGGCTAAGAGGTAGACAGTCGACTATGGAATAGTGATAACCTTATGTTTGGACAAGGCAGATACTGTATAGCTACTTTTTAAAGTTTTTTGTTAGTGTTTATTTTTGAGAGAGAAGGAGAGTGTGTGCGCGCTAGAGGTAGGTAGGAGCAGAGGAGAGAGGGAGACACAGAATCCAAAGCAGGCTCCAGGCTCTGAGCTGTCAGCACAGAGCCTGACGCAGGGCTTGAACTCAAGAACAGCAAGATCATGACCTAAACGAAGTCCGACTTAACTCCTTAACCGACAGAGCCACCCAGGCACTGCTTGTATCATTATTTTTATTTAAAAAATTTTTTTTAATAATTTATTTCTGAGAGAGAAAAAAAATATGTGACCGTGGGAGGGGCAGAGAGAGACACAGAATCTGAAGCAGGCTCCATGCTCCGAGCTGTCAGCACAGGGCCCCACACGGGACTCCCAACTCCCGGGACTCCCAACTCCTGAACCGTGAGATCATGACCTGAGCCAAAGTCGGATGCTTACCGACTGAGCCACCCAGCATCCCTATAGCTGTTTTTTTTTTTTTTTAATTTTTTTCAACATTTTTATTTATTTTTGGGACAGACAGAGACAGAGCATGAACGGGGGAGGGGCAGAGAGAGAGGGAGACACAGAATCGGAAACAGGCTCCAGGCTCCGAGCCATCAGCCCAGAGCTTGACGTGGGGCTCGAACTCACGGATCGCGAGATCGTGACCTGGCTGAAGTCGGACGCTTAACCGACTGCGCCACCCAGGTGCCCCCCTATAGCTGTTTTTAAGAATAGAATTGACAGACCATCTGCCAAGCATTTTTAATACTCAATAATTACATCAGGTTCTTTTATTTAGATAATCAGATTCTTATTCTGAGGCTGTAATGTCAACTAAAATGAGTAAGTGTGGGATATTTTAATTTTACCCCTTGTGTCCTTGCAAACCAGGAGTCTCAGTATGGAAGGAAGGTTATATGGATATAATAAGGCTAAAGAAAAGTTTTTATGGTGTCCAATTTGAATTGGAAGGATCGATATAACTTCAGGTATTTTATCTTTAGATATATGTGTATATATTTACCAGCTCTGTCCATTGAAAGGGCCCAGAAACAATATTTTTAGCACTGATTTTGTGGTCTTGAAATGTCATTTCTCACTTAAAAACAAAAACAAAAACAGTTTTGTGGAGAAATGGCTGCTGATTCCAGGTCTGGGTGGGAAATGTTCAAGATGAGCCTTTATCGTTTTGTCATGCCTGATAGCAAAGAA